CCCCCCCCCCCCCTGTGCGGACGTCTTTTTTTGTAGACATACTTCGAAGTACACATCGGGTTCTCTTCGCATGTCCCTGGAGGCATGAGATGTAGGTCGTCGACCAAATTGGACTGGATCTTGTTCTCAATTGGAACAGTCTGCAACCTTCGCGTGAAGAATGATTCATTATCTCTTTCTCTATTGCACTCCCAACGACGGTCTGGGTTTCGACAACTCCTAAATGTCTTTTGTTGACCAACGGTATCACGCTGCACATGCCCAAGTAAGTCTACCGTGGGTCCACGTCGTTGACTTGGCAGGTTGGTTTGTCGAAAGCGACATGAGAGATTCTATCCTGACATGTATTGTACAATCGTTTGCCCCCAGCTTGACGGTGGGACAAAACAAAACAGCAACATTGAACCGGAAGCGGAGACATTTGCTGCTGCAGCCCGTACGCAAAAAAAAAAGAACAGGCCACAAGAAAAAACAGGCCAAGGATAAGACAGGTCGGATGGTACACAACAAAAAAATGTGGGCACACGGTACAGGGAACGGGGACGAGGGGTGGCAAGGAAAAACATTCCTTCTTCTGCCGTAGCCCGTGCGAAAAAAACAAAACAAGCAGGCTACATAGTCTACAAGAGCGGCCACGGGCACACAACAAACAAATGTGGTCACAGGGAACGGGGACGAGGGGTGACAAGGAAAAACATTGCTGCTGCTGCCGTAGCCCGTGCGAACAAGAACAAACAAGCAAGCTACATAGTCTACTAATGAAAGAGGTTTCAAAGGTAGAACACACGGCCAAAGGTAAGACAGGTCGGATGGTACACAACAAAAAACAAACGTGGGTGCCGGGGACTGGGACGGGGGGGAGAGGGGGGGGTGACCTCTACACCCTACACAGCAAAACATTGCGAAAACTGAAAAAACGTACGCACACCAGCTCGCAAAACACAATGCCAAAAAAATATGCAATGTCTCCTCTCAGGGGATTCGTGCTTAAAATTCTCCTTTCTTCCTCTCTCTCATGACCAACACCCCTCTTCCGCGCCCCGGCAAATCCCGGGAGGGCATTAGCCCTTGTCCTGGACCGTGTTGCGCCCAAAACGATGGGGGCAACGTCTCGGACACTGGAAGTGGGCGTTGACGTAGCAGGCGATGAAAACACGGACGTAGGGAGGGTCACTAGCCCGACCGCAGACGCGGGTGTTGAAGCAGCAGGCGATGTCGAAATAGACGCAGGCAGGGCAGATGACACCGACGCAGTCGCGGATGTACTGGGGGCACCTCCTGCAGCGGGTGGCGTCGGGGCCGAGATGGGTTTGGGCATGAAGTCGGCGTCATCCATGTCATACAAGGCCGACATAGAGGCTCGAAGTGCTATCGCCCTTGGCCCTTCCAGTGTAAACTCCAACTTCCCCCTGAGGTCGTCGATTTTAGCTTTTTTGGCCAAGCGAGCGTAATCCCAGCGAGCTTGTGGGCGGCGTCTTCGTCCAAAGCCTGCCTCGACACAACGGCTGCCGACAAAGCTTCCACAGCCGTCACCAGCTTGCCTGTATGGGCCTGCTGGACGCGGCGCGCCTGCTCTTGCGCGTTCGCCGCCGCCACAGCTGTGTGCTCGTTCTTCACCTGCGCACGGCTCTGAATTTCGTCGGCCCCTGCGAACGTCCGAATAGCGCTCGACGACAATCCTACCTCGGTGTACGCACCGCTTGTCTCCGACCCGCTTCCGTCGCTGGTGCTGGGCGACTCTTTCTGCGCCTTCTGCTTCCCTGCGCGACCCTTCGGCCCGGACGTTTTCCGCGCGGTCCTAAGGTCAGGGTCCTCGCTGCTGCTTGGCCTTCCGATAAGGCAGTAGGTGAGGAGATAGGGGTGCATCCACTTGTTGGATCTGTCAGGATATCCGCCGTCTACTTCTTCGATATCTTCGGAGGGGGCGCCATCCCCGTCGCCCTGGTTGCCGACGGCTGGCTCCTCCTTGATCCCCCCCACCCCCGGTGCGCCACCTTCGCTTTCCTCCGACCCGCCGCCGTCCTCGAGCTGCCCCGGTGGCGATTCCCCATCGTTACCACCGTTGTCCTGCAGCCCGCCGCTCCCCCGCCGTTCGCAACATCGTTGTCGCCGTCTTCCAACTCGATGGGGTCCTCGGCGTTCCCGGAGCTGAGGTGGTATACACCGTTCAGAGGGTAGTCGAGGGCATCTTCTTCTTGCTCGCCCGACGGCAGGTTACCTCCAGGTTGTCCTTCCACGAAACTGGGACAGGGGTGCACTGGAGCAGGGAGACGGGGGGGGGAATGCACGAACGGTGAGGTTACAGAGGACAGGGAAATTGGTACGCCGGGATTACGCCAATTTGGTTGGTACGTCGGTGGAGTAATTATTGGGGGCGGGCTATGCCATGAAGAGGGGCTATGACCAAGGATGTTGCGGTTTTGCTGGAATATTACGGGGTTGTGGGTTGGGGTTGAACTACCTATTGCTCGCAGTCTAGTGCGTTTTGAGCGCTGGGGTGGGGGGTGGGGGTGTACTCATAGTCGTGCATGCCGTAGAAGTTAGACCATTGACCTCGCATCCCTACAAAGCCGGGACGGAGCACGGCCGGTT